GAAAACTTCGTATCATCAGGAGTGGTTCATCGAAGAATCACGTCAAACATTTGAAGAGCTATTCAATCGAGCTCGCTGAAATATTTTTGCATTTATAAAAAATGTGCCACAGTTCATCGTTGTAAAATATTTTTATAGTACGCGACTAAGTGGCCGCGCGATGAAAATTTCCGACGCGGTATTACCACGGTATCACGCATGTGCGTGGATGCGAGAAATTCTCATGGCCGTAGCGGCTGCAAGCTGTAGCGAAATACAATTACCAGGCAACAGCTGTCCATCAGGGCCAATTTATCTATGAAATCCGCCGATAACTAGTGATTATCATTATTCATCGTTGACGAGCTCTTATGCGCGGCCACCGTTCCCCAGTATAATCAAGAAAATTATTCAACTTCTCCATCAACCGATATTGCCCGATATTGTAATTTTTTTTATACAGAAAAAAGTGACCCCTTTGTAAATTTCAATACACCATGATTGTACAAAATTCTTTATCAATTCGAATAAAAGCAAAAGAAAACTGACGGACGCGTCGTCTTTTAATAATCGATTCCTATTTGCGTCTGAACCCTCGTAAATAATTTCTAATCCCACTCTAAAAGTAGCTTGCTTTAAAAACAATTTCCCGCCACGTAAAATCCTTCCCATTAGCCTCTGACCCTAAAACCCAGCCACCCTCCGGCGGTCATTATTCACCGGGCCATAAGTCGTGCATCATCGAACAACAGAATCCGGCTCGCCCTTCCCGCCAATCCCGGCGGAACAAATCTTTCTCGAGCCGTCGACGTGAACTTCGACCGGAATTAAGTTCGGGTTTAATTTAATTAAACAGAGAGAACGAGGACACGACGGGGTGGCGACACATCAAGAAGGTTCCCCCATCTGGCCCGCGAATTTTTTCGTTCCACGCGTGCCACGTCCACCACGAATATTGGATTCCGAACGAGGCTTTTTTCCCCCCGACCCCACGCGCCCGGTTCCTTAATCAAACGGAAATTACTCGCGGCGAGTTGTCACCGGATGCTCGGAAGCCTGACCCAGCCGCCAAGGACGAGGCGACCGGGGGGAAAAAACTTTCAATCGGAATGCGCTAAATCGAATCACGTTCGGTCCCCCGCCGCTCCCGGCCTCCCCCCGTCCGTTTCAAGTAGGGAACGAGAGGACCGGGTTCTGGTTGTGTTTCCACCTGAGCACCCTTCATCATGAGCCGTCCACCTGGAAACAAAGTGACGACGCCCGCGTTTCAACTCTCCCTGAAACTCGAGCCCTACCCCTTTCTCGAATCGATTACACGAGAGTTTCTCTCCTTTACACCGTGTTTTCCGGCCGACGTTCATCTGCCATTAGCATCAATCGATTCGACGGAATTAGTTCGCTCTCTGTTTTTCACCGCCGCGACCATCAGGATTCGTAATCGAACTTTCGCCGCATGGAAGGGATCGCGACACGGGTAGAGCGAAACTTTATCCTTCACAAACAATATTCGGACGAATTTCCCGTGTTTTCCCGTGACGCTTGAAACCGGTTCCTTTCCGGGTGTTAATTGGCGAAGGAATTTTTCGACTCACCGACTGACTTCCGATTTCATAGGTTGATAAAATCTATTCTTCGTTACAGAAAAACGAACAGATTTGAAAAACGTAGAAAAAGAGACTAAATACTCCTCTGATAATATTTGAAAAATATTCTGATCTCCATATTTTAACCGGGTTTATCAAAAATTGATTTAGCGTTAATTGAGAAAACGGAACCGGAGGGAATCTTATGATAAATGTACGCGGATCCGTGAGATCAATCGGCTTTTCGTTTGATCCAACTACAACTCAAACAGAGAGGAGATCCTTTCAAGTTGAAATTAAAAATCAACAACCCCCGGCGCGGCAAGCCGTGTCGGGGATCAGAGGAGCGATGTGTCTAGTCGGTGATTGCAATTAAACAAATGACGCCGAAGGACTCATCGTCGCAAGGATTTATCGGCATTCGATCGCGGCGCCCGGCAAATCTCTGGAGAGTCTCCACAAAATTCTTCGATAAAATGTGTGCTGTCCCATCGAGAACTGCGAAACGAGCGGAAAATCAAATAAACCTTCACGCCGACCGCATTTAAACAAACGAAAAATTTCATTCGAAAGAGTAATAAATTTAATAAAATCGGAACACACCGTGAAACCGTTACGTGTTTCAGGTTCAACAATTCCCGCGATGCTCAAATTCTGTTGTTTCATTCGTTTAAACGATTTCACTTCATAAAAATAAGAGAGTCATTTTTTTTCAAATTAAATATGACAACGATAAAAGAGCATTGGACCAATGAAATGCGGAGCGAACCTGAGAAAAAGTATGCTGCTGGCTCGCGGTTGTATAATGCACGTTCTATCAGGGAAATATAAAAGCGTAAAAAGTTTTAAGAGAACGGAGTTACAGTTTTTCCCTAAACCGCGATAAAATCAAGAAACAAATCCTCTCCTTATCCTGACGCGAAAGAAAAAACTTTAGCGAACTACAAAACTGTTAAAGAAAACAACTCTTTTCCTTCGCGAAACGGGAACGACTTCCCCTTACGTTTTAATATCAGCTTTAATGGAAAATCTGTAAATGCAACTCTGCTTTACATTAAGTACGTCGAGTAAATAAGTAAGTTTTGTCTGCTTATGAATAATTGTCAGGGGAGTTATTAGCCGTGAAAGAAAATTGAAGGACGCCGAACGAGCCAAGAGGTCGATTCGAATTTAATTAATTTTGGCATAGGCAATTTGGCAAAGGGATGCTCCTGCGTTACAGGAGCAGACGGGCGTTAATCGGATGAAGTCTGCGGTCTGCGTAGGAGAGCGGTAAGTAAGTAGCGAAATGTCTCGAGATCTCGCGGGGATCGGCCTCGCCCGCCCACGACGAAGGAACCCGGCAGCCCTTCCCTCCTCTCGCTCCCTATCGTCTTTCATGCGAGTATTTGACTTTCAAATAACGCCTAGCTACAGCCGATATAGCGCGTTATAACCGACCGCTCGCTCCATTTCGAGAAGCAATTCCCTGCTACCCTGACGAATAGCCATTACGTCGGACTAACGATAACTCGATCCACCGGGCCAGAACTGAATTTTTCCACGATAGAATTTCCGCCGTTCGCTTCGAATCAGAAAGTCGCGATACTACCTTTGTTACCCTTCCTCCCCCCGCCGTTCCCGAACCGCGAGCTTATCTTATTAGCTTTTTTATACAGTCTCATCAATTTTTTACCTTTTTATCAACAGGACATAATTCATTCTAATTGAGCGGCAAAGCCCGAATAAAATGAGAAGGAATCATTCACACGCGTGTCCTTCTCACTTCCTTTCGTCCAAACAATTAACACCGACATCCATATTAATGCGGCTGGTAATTTTTCATTTTCGTACTCGGCTCGATTTTTATCGTCGCGGATATCCTAATGAATATTCATAATATTCTGGTCGGTATCTGCAAGAGGAGAGCGTTTCGTTTAATATGTATTCGCGTTTAACGTCACTCGCCTCTGATCGCCGATAATCCCTCCCTCGATACATTTTTATATTACGAATTAAATAAAATCTTCCGTAAAATAGATATTTAATGGTTCGCTTATCGGCCACCAACGTACTCTCTCTCTCTCTCTCTCTCTCTATGATAACACGGTTTTAAACGGTATATTCCAGTAGTCATGATCATCAAATAGCTCGACTCCTGTCTTGCTCGATTCTGGAACGCCTAGCGTGTACGTAATTTCAAAACGGGGAGGGAAACGTTCGTTGAAATGGCCTGATACCCGGGCATCGCGGAATTCTCGAAACGGACGCAACGACACACGCTGCTGCACCGCGGCATTAACGTTCTCGCGTGTATATACGTGCGCCTACTCGTAGCCAGAGCCGGGGAACACTTTGCAAAAGTGTATCAACGTTTCCGTGGCACGCGTTTCAACCGCAAGCGGGTGCACTTTCCGGCGCGCGGCGGAATAAGAGAAATGCACGCGTAAAATTTGCACGTAAACAGGAAGCTTCCGAGAATCGCTTTGTGTTTGCCTCGCGCGGATCGGGACGTTAAGAATGAACGCGGCTATGGAATTGTGCGATACACTCGCGTCGAATCAAACGCGTAAATGGAGCCGCGTGAAGTTTTCACCTGACAATCGAGAGTGAACGAGTGCAACGATTTGCGGTTTTTTTTTTTTCGATTGAAATGAAGATTTGATTTCTTTTAAGTCGGAAATTGTTTCAATCGATCACTCACCAGAACTTTCACCATGTATATCCTCCAGCTCTGAAGTCCAGCCCAGTCGATCGGGCAGCCGGGCAGCAGTTTAAAATTCCCAACTGCGACGCGCCGTAAGCTCTCTCTGAAAAAAGGAAAACGAGAGTTATCAGCGTTTCCTTTCTCCCTCGGCTCAGTTCCCCTCCCTTCCTTGTACACCCGGTTAATGGGAAACCGTCTAGGTCGTGTTTGCCCGGGCAAATATTTTCGAATAACAGAAGGGATGAAAGGGGGACACGGCTGCTATTTACCATCGCTTCGAAAAAATTAGGTTATATAAATATCCTTTGGAGGCGTCGACGAGAAGTGCGAGGGAAGAACAGCCTCGCCTCTTCCCACCGCGATCCACGTTCACGCGCAGACGTCGAACGCAATTAAGAGTTGGTATCAGAGCACGTCGTTGTCAATTATTTCATTCTTCCATGCTGCGTCTAACGAAGTGAACTGAGGAACCGCCTGTTGCCTGTCGCTACAGCAAGGTTAACGAAGCCACGGAGATGCGACCGGAGAAAGAACGAAATAAAGGAGTGGAAATAAAGAGAGCAGCGGACTCATTCGAGCAGCGTCACGCGGGTCTCGAGGCTTTACGTAACCTGGATATACGTGTGCATGTGTATCCTTCCTCTCTTCGCTCGCTCGTCAACCACCTCAGGGATTTTTGCTTCCCCCTTTCGTTTCCCTCCGGGCAGGGAGCTTCTGTTTATAATTTCATGTCGACAGGCTACGCGATAATGGGACCACGTGTCACGGTTCCACGGAATTCCGCGTCTCTCCTCCTTTCCTGTAGCTATGTACCCACCTACTTCGGCGAGTAATTCGCGAATTTCGCGATACCCTGCGTTGGCCTTTCTCCGGGATGAAATGAAATTCGTGACACGGTTTTGATCGGTGAATTAATATCACCAAGTGAGACGTTCCAGGTCAAATTTATTTAATACATTGAAAAGATTCATCTAAAATTATTTCCCTCCTCCGTTAACGATATTAGAATTACCTCGATAGTTATTTTTATGTGCATGATTATTAAATTATATTGAAAAATAGTCGTGGGATCGGATGACTCATTAGCTTAACCGAGCCGAACATGTGGTTAAGACAGATTGATACGCCGAAGTTTCGACCTATCGGATACCCATTATACACGATCACTGCCAGATTCGTCATCAACCGCGATTAATCTACCGGCAACCGATAATTAAATAACAAATGATCATCATCTATTTGAGAAAAATACCTCTCGCGATTAATCACTTCAACAAGTGATCATTACATGAAATAGAAACCATATACAATGATTTTTTTAATGAAATTGTACGAACCTCTTTGCATAATTTTGTCTCTGACTGTAATATCAAACGATCGATAAGTGGGTACAAGAAACTGAAGTAAAGACAAACAAATCAGAAGCTATCAAACGTTACGCGAAACGAGCTAAAAGCATTGGCTCATGCACATGCGGTTATAAACTTCGTTTCGTCAAACATTGCTGAAAAACGTTTTCTAATTTCGCTGCACACTTCGTTCTTTATTTTCGTCGATGTGACTCTATAAAAATATCAAACAATTTCGCATTTGGCTCGAAATTTGTCGACGATTTCTTGCACCGTTAGTGAACGGAGTATTCAATTAATGCACGTCGTATTAACATAATATTAGCCTCGTGTTGCGAGAGGCTCTTGCAGAATTTTATGCGCACGACGCACGCGTGAGAATACGCGAGAAACGGTGAAACAAGATAAAAAAGAAAAAGAAGGGAGAAATGCCGAGTCTACCCGTTACGCTACCCGTGTTCCACGGTGTTAGCATTTTTGAGTTAATTACTAGCGTCGAAAAAAAAAAGGGGAACGAGAAAATTGCAGGAGCGGGTAGTTCCGCGAAAGCTCTAGAGCTCCTCTGACCATTGTCCGCGGCGTTACGGCATCCGAAATCGTAATACTTAACGAAATTTCTGATGTTTCTGCGTCGCGGACGAATGAAAATTCCTGTTTCAGCGCGACGTACGCTGCGTCCTGTCCTCCCCTGGGTGCGCGGCACGTTTCAAAGAGAATCGTTTAAAAACCGGTTCGCTTTTCGTCGATAAAATATACAACAGTCTCGCATAATGAACAAAGCTGAGCAGCTACGAAATTCTTTTTTAACTAAACGATCCAGTTTTCGCTGAAAGTGGATTGATAAAGTTTACCGGCGGGCAACCCACGTATTTTATTTAGAGAACGGAAATTCCATCTCACGAATTCTTGTTTCAAATAATAAATATCTTTTATGGATTCACAATTCTGTTGAGTATCGTCGTAAAACGAATCGGCTGTATTTACATATTTGAGCAACTGTATTTACTTTAGCCGCGGGATTTATACAAAGATCGGTGAACGTCAGGACTGGATTAATCCATGATAAATCCGGCGCACCGTTTGAAATCGCGTGACCATCAATTATGCGGACGGCCAGAGAAAAACGAACAACCGGTTTGACGTTGTAATTTTAAACATATGCACGCACGTATTGGATTACATCCAGATTCGTGAAGTTATAAGTTGCAACCGCGCTCGCCCGATTCGAAATAGAATGACTCATAGACAAAGACCTTGTTCTAATTCAAAAACGAAACACGGAAAAGCTGTGGACCATGTCGAGCACGCTGCATCGCACCGATTTTACGAGGCTATTTCTGGCGCGGGAGTTATTCGCACAGGTGTTAAATACCTCAAACTGGTAGACATTCTATGAAGAGCGTGTTGACATTCTAGTATGCAGTAATTGTATCGAATCGAGTTAACGAAGGAAATGAAATTTTCCAGATATCATTTCATGTTGAAACCAGTTTAAGCGAATATTTCCCGTATCTATAAATTCGTACAGAGATAAAGATGCAGAATGTGCAGGTCGAAGTAAAAGAAATCTTGGTATCGCACGATACTGCCACGATAACCCAGGATCGTGGCGTAACGGAGGACCATAAACGTGCAGGGTGTAGTGCAATTAGTATTCACGTACGGCAATCGTCAGCAGCCCGAATTGCGATTGCCTAGCTGGAAAGTGGCCCGTTTTGTGACTCTATTGCTCGCGGGGCGGCAGTTGAAACTAATTCGACGAAAACCATAAGAACGGTACGACGACGACGTTTGGCCCGCGTCTCATGGTATTGCGGGTCGCGTGCTGGCTCCGCGGCGAACAGCTGAGAAGAAACCTGAGAGTACAGGGCGAGTCGAGGCGGTGCCTGCTTGGAAATAGCTTTGGCAACGGTCTGGCCAACGTGCTACCGCTGTCTTGGTCCATAAAATGGAAGATTACTAGCGTGTTGCTTTTCCGCACACGCTTCTCTTGTCGCGGCTCGTTCCTGTCTCCGCGGTTAATATAGATCATACACTAACGATTCCCTTCCGACCCCTGGACGTGTCGTTTAGCTCGTAATAACGGAACTCGGATTTGTTTCGTCACGATCGCTGAAAAGTGTCCACAGTTTCCTTCTCCTTTTTCCTCCATGGTATTACACTGGACAATTTTTTAATCTTCTTTTTAAGTAATTATGTGTTCAGGCTAAAATCTATTTGAATCAGTGAACCGATCACGAAGCTCGTTCAACGGCAAGTTAGATTGGGAACAATGTTACATATTCGCAACGCGATTCAATCAAAGGGCGAATATCGAGCCGAGTGGGAGTCTCTTCCCATCAAATCCGATAATATATTCAAAGGGGACGGTAAACTATTCCTTCTAGGAAGATGAAATGTTGCCTTCGTTTGCAGACCGCTTTTCGCGATCATTTTCCACGGTTTTAAGCGCGGGCCAGAAGGGAATTAATTAAATCAAAGATTCGTACAAAATTTGTTCAGGGTCTTAACGCGGAGCGAGGACGGTACCCTCTGAGACAAAGTGGGGTCAAGATTTCAATCTGTTAATTGTCACTCTACGTTACGTTGTAACTAAAGATCCTACTCGGCGTCTTAACGCTACTGAGGATTACTTTCCACTTTTTGAAGAACACTCCGCTTTTCAGTAAAACGGTTCTGTATTAATTATCGACATCAATCGCAGGGAAGACTATGTCAAGCAAGTTGAGTAGTCAAAGTCTAATTTAATTAGCGACGGTATTTAATACTCTTGCTGCGATCCAAGTAAATGCCATATAAGAGGTACGAGTTAATGGCAATTTACTTCATCTTTGATTTCCCATTTGAATTATCATTTTCGATCATGGAAAAAACAAGACAGACTTATTACTCTTTTAAAATCTTGTCCTCTTAGGGGAAATTAACACTAGCCGGAGCTGGCCAGGAATCATAGTCCCAACCTGTACTTTTCATTTCTGGTTACACAGAGGAGCGGTGGCTTTGTAATCTCATTTCAACGCGATCGTACAGTTGGGTCTCGTATACCGATATTGCACACTTCGGTCGAAATAGAATACGTAATTGTCTCTCCACACGTTGTTAGAGACGCGACAACGCGACCCACGGGGTGTCAACATTCTTTAAACTACATTTCCCCGGGTTCTCCCAGAGAAAAATTTTACTTTGCACAGAGCCGGATATAAAATACCGCTCCGTAACTAATGAAAGTGAGTGTTATTAAATTTCGTGGAGAGCTAATGCGTCAAATCTAACGCCGCGGCGTGCCAGCGCGGTGGCTGCATCCGCGCGGGCTGCAATAAATGGTTTTAATTGCCGGTGACACTGGATAAGGGTAATAATATTACGCGGTACCAGAATTTCAAAATTTCGCCCGACAAATTCTGTGAAACCGCAATCAAAAACGGGAAGTAGCCGCTGCTTGGTATCCCCGTTTTAAAAAGATAAAATACCGGTTAATTACAACTTTGCCAACTACAGCAGAGAGAGAGAGTGAACATGAGCCCTGGGCTTCAGCTACTCCTAATTAGCTATGATTTTATGGTAAATTAGATAACGAACATAAAACGCTGACGTTAATAACTGGGAATTATTAAATTGGCGATGATAACGCGTCGATTTTACGTTAAGGTTCGTTCATATGGTGTATGAATACACAGTATAAACGTATCTTCGTGCCGGTGATCGTTCACGACGCCCCGTTGACAAGAATAATAAAATAATGCGACGTCGGGCC